AGGACTTTAGAAGTTAGTTAATGGTTTGTGGGCCTAGAAAGGTCGAGGGTCAGTACTTCTGAGCATGTTCAAATGTACAGACTGGACTCTATATTGAATAGTTTCCTAGATGGCACGTGGCACCCCTCCGCCCATACTGCAAAGCAGTTGCATAAATTGCTGACCCGGGCTAATACCACCCAAGAGGCCAATCTGGTTCCTATAAGATGATCTGCCCCAGATTATAGCCCCTCCATCGTGAACAGTCATCCTCATCTTGGGGTGAAGAGGTGAGAATGAGGAAGGTGATCTGTCTGGTTGTTACTGGAATCAGCACTCAAGGTGACCTGGTGATGGTGACTTGATAATGGTGACTTGGTCTGGAGAGATGGCTCAGAGTTTAGGAGCCCTGGCTCTTAACAGTCCTGGCTGTTCTTCAAAGGTCTTGAGTTCAATTCCCAGCAACCACATGGTGGCTCACAACCATCTATAATGAGATCTGGTGCCCTCTTCCGGCCTGCAGGCACACATGCAGGCAGAATACTATATAAATAAATAAATAAATAAATAAATAAATAAATAAATAAATAAATGTTTGTTGTTTTTTTTTTTTTTTAAAGAAAGATAGTGACTTATTTCTATACTTAGTATGATTATCAAGCAGGAGCCTGGGCCAAAGCAAATGAGACAGAATCAAAAGGAAGGCAACTGTTCTATGCTCTGATCCTGCTTCCAGTTACCTTGTAGATCCAAGTGAGGAGCCTGTGATTCTTTACAAAATCAGATCCTACATGCCTGTTATAGAAAGGGGGTGTGGGTCTAGGACAAACTTAGAAACTATTGGCCTAGACAAAGCTTTTACCAAGTCCACCTTCTGTGTGTTCAGTGTATGTGGTATGGTAGCGGGCCCCTGAACCATATAAAGTTATGCCATCTCATGAAAGCATTCCTGAGAATAGTGTAAGTGCTGAAACTATCTTGGGTAAAACTGGTCTCTAGACCAGTCATAAATTCCTTCTCTACAATGTGACCCTGAGCTAAAGGTTAAATGCCTGCCTGATGTTTCTCTGGAGCTGCCTTCGGTAAATGTCACAATTGCAGGTTTTGTCCTTAAAAATTCAAACCAATGAACGGGAGGCCACTTCCCAGTGATCTTGTTGCAGAATATTTGGTTACACTGTGAACCCTGGGATTCGGTTGTTTACTAGAAAAAGCTGTTTCTAGTTGTGGTGTGGCTCAGCCCTAGCACACACCTTTTGTTCAAGATCCTTCTGCTTGAGTATTGTCAACCATAGGTCAAAAGGCAGAGCAAGCAACCAGGTGACGGGGAGTGGACAGAGGAAAAAAGCGTACTGAGCAAGGGGAAGTCAGGATGACGGATAGAGAGACACACAGGAACTAAAAGGGAGGGACTCAGTTTGAGGGTGGGAAGAGGCCTCTTTTCGGGACATAGCTAAGAAGGAAGGTCGGCTGGGCGCATTCTCTGCGTCTCTACAGGCTTTCACCCCAGCATCTGGCTCCTGAGTCTTTATTGGTAAAGTCAAACGATTGAGATTTTGTTTAAAAACAAATATTCTTAGGGCAGTCCCACCAGCTCTTACTAAAGACTCCACTGAAAGTTTTTCTCCTCAGGTACCTCAAGACAGCGCATCTACGGTAAATGCACATGAGCGTGCAGAGGCCTGAGGAGAACTTTGATATTCCTTCTATTGCTCTCTCCCTGTTGCCTTTTCTCTCACAGAACCTAAAGCTCTTTGATTTGATTAGACTGGCTGGCCAGCAAGTATGCTGAATGTACCTCTGTTTTCCCAATGTTACAGGCATATGCCGCCATGCCTGGCTTTCTTACATGCATGCTTGGGATTTGAACTTAGATCCTCATGTTTGCAAAGCAAACACTCTCACCCCCTGAGCCATCTCTAGCCTAAACCATGTCTAACTTCTGTTTACTTTTCTTCACTTGGCATGTGGTGTGTGTGGGAGGGAGGGGAAGTGAGGTTAGAGAAAGTGTAAACTAATGAAGGAAAAAACACTGGGCATATATACAAGGACATGTTAAATCATGTGCATCAAAACAGGCGTCTATCACATATTGAAAAAGAGATGCTTTTGTGGAGGTTGAGTAGTGGTTATAAAGGCTTTCATAAAACTTTCAGACCTGCAACGTGGAGGACCCTCCGAGAGGGTGAGACGCTCTTGTATGCCTTGCAGAGGGGGAAGGGTTGACTGCAAGCCTGTAGCATACGAAAAGAAGAGCCTCGGTCCAGAAACTGTGTGACACCTGCACAGAAAACACAGAGAGGCCCAGAGCAGTTGTGCCTACCCTGAGGCCCCGAAGGATTGTATTGTGAGAGCATTAAGCATTGTTTATCATCATAGCCTGCTTCTAAGGAACAAATGTTTAATTTTGTAATTTAGGGACACTTAAAAATGCTAGTATTAGAGTCATTCACTTAAACATAAAGTGCACATGAGCGTGCAGAGGCCTGAGGAGAACTTTGATATTCCTTCTATTGCTCTCTCCCTGTTGCCTTTTCTCTCACAGAACCTAAAGCTCTTGTACTATGGGAAGAGCTTGTACTATGGGAAGAGACCCTCACTGTAATTGGCCAAGGCTTTCAAACAACAAACATTCCAGACACCGTGCTGCAAGGGTTCTGTGACCCTAGCACCAAGTAAGGCGAGGGAGCCCTCAGAGCTGGAGAATCTGACTGCCAGCACCACAATGCCAGATAAAACAGGACTTTGGGGAAAAAAAAAGATTAAAAAAATTACACTCTTTCAGAAGAGAAGTCCACAGTTAGGACAGTTTCAGGGTTGGTTAATTTTCTGATCTGATGCTAGATTTTTAGGTTCCATCATCCTCTTCGGTCCTCACTACTGGGCCTGTGAGGCTGACTCTTTTCCTGGTCCTCATACGGCCCTCTCTGCTGCTCACTCATAAATGTCTAGAGGTCAAAAGGGAACCTTGCTGTGTTTATCTTTTTGAGCTCAAAGCACATCCTTCTAGAAACCATGCCTCCGAAGATTTTGCCTCAGATTATACTGATTTACCAATCCACAACTAAATCAATAACTTTGCCAGGAAAAAAAAAACAAAAAAACCCCACATTGCTTTCATTTCCATCTTTGCTACTCGGGGCCACGCTGGGCTGAGTGAGCAGGTTAAGAGAAAGCATAGGGGGTCTGTGGAGGCCACAGCAGTTCGTACTTCACAACTGGCGAGCTCGAAGGTGCTTCCACTCATCAAAACTATTTTCCTTGCCCATACACAAACTTGGCATGGTAACGACCCAAGCTTTCCATTCAGGTGGACAAGCGAGGCTGTGGACCGGCCACGTTCAGCACGTACTTTGTGTTGGGTACCAGTTAAGTGCCTAAAACCTTGGAGCTGTAAGCAAGTAACTGAGCCTAAAAAAAAATTACATCCCAGTCGTTACATACAGAGTATTTCGGGTCCACCCAGTGCATGTTCCCTTACCCAGATAGTTGTGAAAAAGGCAGGTGAACAAACAAGTTTTCGAAGGAAAGATCTATCCTACAAGTAGCACAGGACCTGGCTGGCTGGCTTTATGTCAACTTGAAATAAGCTGGAATCATTTGGAAAGAGGGAACCCTAATTGAGAAAATGCCCCCACCAAACTGGCCTGTCACTCATTTTCTTAACTGATTTCTGTGGGAGGGTTCCCACTATCTGTGGGAGGTGCCACACCCAGGCAGGAAGGTAGTCCTGGGTGCTGTAAGGAAATGGGTGGAGCAAGCCAGAGAGGAGCTCTCCTCCTTTCTGGGCATCAGCCCCTGCCTCCAGGTCCCCGCCCTGTCTCCCGTCCTACTTTGGCATCTTTTGGGCTGTGTCCCCGTGTTTTACCACAGCAATGGAAACGGGGCTGAATGCACAATCTGTGCCCACAGGGAAAGGGTTAAGATGGATGCACCATGTCTATTTTAAAAAGAAAGGGACGCTCTGTATTTAACACACTTTCCATCGTGCCTGTGACTACTGGAGCGGCCTCAGAAGGCAGACTAGATGGGCAGCCAGGTCCAACAGAGCAGTCTTTCAAAATGAGAATCTTGTTACCCAACACCACCCTCCAAAATGCTTTTTTCTTTATAAAATCTCTCTCTCTCTCTCTCTCTCGACAGGGTTTGTTATTTCTCTTAGAGGTCTTTAGAAAAGTGTAATTTCACTTGAGTTATTTGCAAGCCCCATTTGTTCCTGTGATTTTGTGACATAATTGCCCTGATTGATGAACATGCTGTAGCTGGCGATGGGGGCACACACCTTTAGTCCCAGAACTTAGAGGTAGGTAAGTCTGAGTTCAAGGCCAGCCTGGTCTAGAGAGTGAGTTTTAGGACAGCCAGAGCTCCAACAAATAAACACCTAAGAGCTTTCTGGGGAAAAGTGAAATAGAGAGCAGGTAAAGGCCCTTACCACCAAGCCTAACAATGGAGTTCAATCCTGGGACTCACATGGCAGAAGAGAACCAACCCCTAAAAGCTGTGCTCCCCCCCCCCCACCCCGTGCCAGCTGGTTATGTCAACCTCTGATGTGTGTCAGCAAATCAGGGTCCCTTGGGAAGAGAGAACTTCCAATGAGAAAGTGCCTCCTCCAAACTGTCTGTGGGCAAGCTTGTGGTGAATTTGCTGGGACTGATGATTGATATGAGAGGGTCAGTCTACTGTGGGAACTGACTGACCCCCACACCCCCGGGCTGGTGGTCCTGGGGGCCCTAAGAAAGCAGCCTGAGCAAGTTGGGAGAAGCAAGTCAGTAAGCGGCACTCCTTCGGGGCCTCTGCATCAGTTCCTGCTTCCAGACTCCTGTCCCGACTTTTGTGGATGATGGACTACAAGCTGCAAGATGAGACGAACCTTTTCCTCCCCGAGCTGCTCTGGCGTATTGCATCACAGAAACAGACCTATCCTACATATGCACTATTATGCCTATGTGCATGAGCATAACAAATGCTTTTTTAGATTTAAAAAAAATTTGTTTCTACTACTAAAATAATCCACACAGAAACAAAGTCAATTAAACTTTATTTCAACCAAGAATATAAAATAAATGTGATGTAACTTATCGTAGCTGGAACAGTCACTTTGAGAAGGACGGCTGGATAACTCCAGAGCGGAAGCACCCAGTTCTGAAGAGGCCACACACCCTGTATCCCCCAAGGGGACTACTGAGGGCAGCCAGCTTGGAGTACACACATCACAGCAGAGCAAGGAGAGCCATGGCAATATCTACGATCATACAGAGGGTGCGTGCAGAAAATGACCAAAAAAGATTAAGACAGGTACACTTCACAAATAGGAATTATCAGAAATACAAACTAGTTTAGAAAGGACATACTGTATAACATATATAAAAAGTACTTTCAATTGTTATTAAAAAGGACATCTCAGTCCTGGCTTTGCATAATGCTTTTAGTGTCTACCCCGACAAAGCTTTAAAAAAATTAAATAGTATTAATTTACTCACTATGTAGGTGATAACAGTGCATTAGGCATTTCCCGTATAACACATACACATCACTCCCTACTGGAAACAACTTGGAAGAGCAAGTACCCCCTTGGGTACCATGCACTTCTGAGAGTCCTCAAACACTGACCTTTGGGGTTATGATATTTGTAACTATTCTTGATTATTATGGGGACCTAAATGGCTACATTTTTTATATAAAATTATTACTTGTTCTTGACTCCTTCGAGCCTCCATTAAGCCCAATGGCCATCCACGGTCTGTCTCCTAGGGAGCAGCACTGAGCTGAAAATGCAGCTCTCCTGCGATTATTCCACAGTGAAGAGCCGCTGCTACATCTTAATGCAAAAGCAAAGCAAGCTGCAAGTCTTACTCTCCAATCCCTTTTCCCTTTAGCAAAGAAGAGCATCACTTCAGAGGCACAGAGAACAACCAGGAATGAGGCAATGAGCATGTGATGTCATCTCTTCCCGTCTTACAAGTATGTTACAGAGTGAAAGAATGCAGATGTCACAATTCTAAGTCCTAAAGTTTCAAAAGCACATATATAAAAATAGACATGTCCCTTGATTTCTGCATCTCGCTTCATGGTTTACTTCATCACAGAGATTGCTTCAGCCTCAAATTGCCAACACAGCCCCAAAGCTACCTTACCTTAAGCTAGCCTGTCCCCAAACTCCTGAATCCTTTTTCCCAAACACCTGGCCACAAAGCTACCTCTAAAAGTGACTTTTAATATATAAATCAGAAACCTTTCAACTCAATCCTTCACCACCTCCCCAGACTGAGAGGTTCCTATAAGTTGGAGGATGCCTCCCTGTGTTCCTAGGAGACAAAATAGTATCTAACAAATATTCAGAAAGGAATGCAACCACAAAGGTAAATCCCACCCTTAAGAAGCTTCACAGGCCCTGCTAGAGGTCCCACTCCATGGACTATGGCCTTAATGTACACGAAAGGCTTTGCTTCCTCCACAGAGAAAGAAAATGATGAACAAAAATTATTTATAAGAGTACTGGGCGCAGGTATGCATCACCAACCCTGAGGCAAGAAGAGAAAATCAAGGGCCAGAGCCAGTGCAGTGATGTGGAGCCCAGTTGTCTATATAGTGGAGTTTTCTGGCTTTGACCTGGAAAACACTATACTGGAAGCAAATGACAAAGTGCCCTGTTTGTGTCAGTTTTACCAGGACAGTCCTATGAATACACTGCCAGAACTGTGTATCCAGTTTGTGTATAAAGAGCTGGTGTGTGTGTGTGTGTGTGTGTGTGTGTGTGTGTGTACACAGACTAGGGGCTAATGTCTTTTATTATTAAAGGTGAGCTCACTTGAGGGCAAGAACAGAGCATCCATTTTCATTGTGATTTTCTATAACCACTTAGTAGAATATGCCCTGTTCACAAGGGCCACCTAATTGCTGTTAAAGGCTGCTGTGAACTTTTCAAAGATGCATAGATGCCTTTTTGTGACAGCTAATCACTGGCTTTCTCCTCAGGCGGTCAGACACACACCTGCTTCCCCTAACACTGTTTACTGTAAGATTCAGAAGCACAGTTATCCAAGTGGGTTCAGAAGTAAACAAAAGGACCTTCATATCACGTGACACTTAAAAGTCAATCACATGGCACAAACAACCAACATGAGCTTACTGTCACTGGATTGGCTGTAACAAGGAACATGTCCTATTCTTTGTTTTTCTATCCAGCAGAGCACTGGGCCTGTGGGAAGGGAGCAGTGGCCATGGACAGAGAGGCCCAGGGCACAGGACAGAACTTTATATAGGTAGCTACATTATGCAGGAGGCTGATTCTTATTTTAAAAAAATATAAGGGATAAAAAACAAATCCATGTAGACAATCAGAAATTCCTCCCAATGAAGCATATCATGTGTCAACGACTTCATTTTCAGTCTTGGTATGCGTGTTACTATACAGCCTTTATTACTATTTATAAGCATTATTATGCTGAAATCAGTATGGTCCTGGCTGGCTACAGTATCACATCAATAGTGCAAAATGTATACTGGCTTCTAAAATCTTATTTTACTTGTATATGGACCCCAGAGTATCATAACCAGGTAGATAAGTTCACAAGAATAGTTTTTAAAAACGCATATAGTTTGCATATACAATTGGCTATTTTTTTTTAGCTCAAGAAACATTGAAAACAAGGCTGGTGCTGCTCATAGCATCAGAACAGAACTGTTCTTGCTCCCTGCACTACAATGGGAGCTCTAAGCCTTTAACATTTCCTCTTGATTCTGGAGGTGAGGGGTTCCTTAAAAGTAGCTAAAAAAGAACTCCCCTCATTCGTAGATCATGGAAATGCAAGTACTCACCTCATCTACTTTACACTATCTGCCCATAGTTTTAGGCACAATTGTAAGTTTTTCCTAGGGGCAAAAGAAAGCATTCAGTGCAATAAAAAAGATTCTTGACAGCGTTAAGTCTCAGTTACAACAGCAAAATTATGCATACACAATACATATTCTGAACATGAATAAAACCTAAAATTTTAACATGCTTTAAAAATAGTCACTCTATGCCTAATGTAAATACAAATGGAAAACACTGCAGATGAATTAACAGGCTTGAGTATCCTTGATTATGAAAGAAAGTTACTCATGCTGACCAGATGTGGAGAGACTAAAGAACCAACAGCTCCTTTAGAGAAGCTGATGCCTCTGACGAGCTACAGGAGAGCTTTTCCTTCCGGGGAAGAAGTGTCCTTTGATCAGCATGACTCCTTCGTGAAGTCCTAGTGCAGTTAAACAGTCTCTTCAGATTTCCCAGGTGGGTCCCAAAGGACCGTATCCCATCAAAGCTCTTGAAACCCCTTTTAAAGTAGACTTACCTACACAAAGTTAAAATTATGATTTTTAATTACTGAATATCATTCAGAATATGATGATTCTGGGAACTGAGTTCCACATGAATGATGCTGTGACAACCGCCGAGGACTTTAGTTCTTCCTAGCACAGCAAGGAGCTGTTTTTGGTTGTGGGTACCCTCTGACCCACACTTGTCTTTTACTAGACCTTCCCTGAAAGAGATAAATAAAAACATAATAGTAAAGTACTTTGGGACAGTAACAGTTTCTTTTTAAGACTTCCAAGAGCAAACCAGTTAGTCTGTGAAGACTGTGTAGTGCTTTAAAGGTGCATTTAACTTGTGTTGCTAAATCAGTTCATGAAGTATAAAACTATACACCACTGGAACCCTGTTCCTAAAACACTGAATCCTACGAAAGATAAGCTATAATGATTGCTACAGCGTGAGAAAGGTGCACCAGAAACTCCTCCAGAGACTGCTGAAGGATGCAGAAGTGCTGGGGTAGATCAGACGCTTCATCGGGAAAGTCACAGAGAGATTCATGCGGGGAAGAGGGCTGGGACCACTTCACAGGAGTCTTCCTTAAGTCAGCGAAGAAGAGAGCTGAGTCCTTCAAAACACCTAGCATGCAAAGGTTTCCTCTCAAGCATCTGCGCTTTGCACAGTAGCACAGTCTTCGTTCTGGGGTGCTTTGCAGCGCAGAGAGCGCCCTGCTGGAGCCCGGGCCAGGCAGAGGGCAGTGGGTCAGTACCGGTGCGCCTGGTGAGATGGGTGGTACTGTGAACTCTGCTGAGACGAGGCATAGCCCAGTGTGCTCTGCGACTGAGAGGGGCCCTGAATGCTGCTTTGGTAATTCAGGCGAGAACTGGAGTGCTAAACAAACAAACAAAAAAGGTGATTACTCTATAGAGTGGGGCTCAAGATGCCAATCACAGTAGAACAGAGACATTAGCTACTTTCATCATGAGGCTCCTGCTCAGATCCTCAGCAGTTGCTATGCCCTGCTTATCTGATATTGCAGCCTGCTCAGACTGTATCTGCCCTGGTTAGCACTGAATTTGCCTGGGTAGTGGGGAGGGTGAGCTGTACTGGTAAAGAAAGGCAGAAGGGAAATTTCTGAGGTATAATTTAACCTTTTACATGACTGAGATTTGATAAGAAAACAAGTTGGTAAATGAAAATTAAGATATAACTGCATAGTGTTAATTCCCACTTTCAATAATGAGCTGTGACTAGAAAATCTATCTTCTACGCAGAGTTTTCAGAGGCAAAAGCTAGGGACATTGGGAGCCCTACCAATAGGCAAACAAGTAAGGCTGACAGGACATGCTATCTGTAAGAAGATATTATAAACTAAAGGTAATCATTAAAACAAAACATTCTCACTAATAAATCTTTCCCATCTAAAAATTAAATAGAGCAAATTTCCTTTACAACTGGCCTTAACAGATCAGGATACAAATAGCTTTCAGCTGAGACTCTGTGCTAAAGCAACTTTTTAGAATGATAAAAAATAAGATTTTTTTTCAATATGAAAAAAAAAATCTACATCCCTTTCTTTTGTGTGTGTGTTCTGTTCTGTTTTAAAGGCAGAGAGTCTCACTTTGTAGGCCAAGTTGGCCTAGAACTCACTATGTGGGCCAGGCTGGCAGTAAACTCTCACAAATCCATCTGCCTCAGCCTCCTGAGTGTAGAGATTGCAGGTGTGAGCCGTCACACCATGGCCCTCCTTTTGAGGGACTAACCATACTTGCTTATACTGCAACAGCCCAAGACCCCACACACGGAAACTACTAAACAGGCCGTCTCCTCACAGCAAAGTTCAGCGTGGTGCTGAGTAGATCAAGGCAAAGAAACTCAGACTTGGAATACAAGAAAATAAAATGTCACACTGCCTTTTTTATTTTGAAGAGTGTTTGTGATAAAACAAATCTAAAGGTATTTTATTCTGATAAATCTTAGAATCAGAAGCTGTCTTTAAGTCTTCAGACTTTTCATTAGTTTTCTTAATTAGTGGTACAGTTGTGATTTCCTTTATGTCTTGACACCAAAAGTACTGTCTGGTGAGAAAAACAATTCTAGTAGGGTTTACAGTTGTTTACAGCCTTTATCGTGTCCCATGTCTATGCTGCTACTGCCTGACTATTTCCTCCCAGTGAGAGTAAATCTTTCTCAGGAACTGTCTCTGTTTTAAGTGTTCTTCATTTTCTCCAAGACATTTTGCTTATGTCCATGTCCTTCTCCCACCCAATCTGTAGCCAATATGTATAAAAATTTTAAAGGAGCCTCCTGACTGTCCTCCTTTCTTTCCTTGTGGTATTACGATAAACATATCACAACACAAAATATTTCAAATTGCATGAATTTTGGCTACAAATCATCCCTTTCATATAATGCTAGAATATAACTATCTAGTTTTTACATAAAATTTTGGAGCTAAGAACTATTTAACTCCAAAAGAATTTGTTAAAAGTCAATTTCCTATTTCATAAAATATATCTGCATCAAAAAGAAGAAAATTTAGGGGCAAACCTGATAATCCGAGGGCATGACAGGCCCGCCTGAGCTCGCACCCGAAGGCCCAATTCGGGGCTTCTTGTTGGGAGGCACCTGATTCAGGCTGGAGTCCTGGCTGTGCTGCAGGCCGGCTCCAACGCCCGCACCACCGGCCGTTGCTCCCCCAGCAGTCCCGTTGGTTTGGGCACCGCTCTGCTGTGGTGGAGGAGCCTGTGTGGGCGCTGCTGCCTGCTGTGGAGGGGCTGTGGGCTGCTGATGCGGGTTCTGCTGCTGCGGTTGGTTCTTTTAAGGAAAAGAAAAGAAAGGAAGGAAGAAAAAGGAAAGGAAAGGAAGAAAGAAAGAGAAAGAGAGAAGGAAGGAAGGAAGGAAGGAAGGAAGGAAGGAAGGAAGGAAGGAA